TATCTGACTATGTAGGTGTTGATAATGTGGATGACTGTTGTGTGGTTTCTCCAACAACACGTTCGATCTAATAATGTCTTTTTTCGTAATTTTTTCCGGGGGGGGGAGTGTCATGACGCAACTATTTAGTGTATGAGAGCTCTGTATGAGCGTTGCATGAATGAATGTTGTAAACGCTTGTTGGATATTTTGAATTTTCGTTGGATATGGATATTTGGCGTCGTTGAAGGGTATTGAAGCAAATTGAAGCAGCTTGATCGATTTTCAAAATCCCAGCCCCGCTCCCTCACTCTCCGAGTGGGCGCTGAGCGGAGAAGGCTAAAACAATAGATCAAACAACCACCGTGAGTACCCGATGCCAGGAGCAACGGGCTTGCTCCCTTTCATTTTCTTTGTCTGTTCCTCCATAACAGGAGTACATACCCAGGTGTGAGGGGTAACCTTTTCCGGGCACCCCTTGCGTAGACCTCAAAGAACAACCCAACCTTCCCCATATTTAGCCCGCGAACACCACACCACGTTGAATCGAACAAAACGTACGAGGTTTCGTTCTATCAATCCATCGTGTCGGGATGGGGCTATTGAGCCGCGGGCCTATTCGTTGGAATAGTTTGAGGTAGGTCCTGTAGCATAGAGCGTGGCATTATAGAATGAAAACCGCAACGATTCATTGTTGTTGTTGTTAGTGCCAATCTCTATCGGCCTGTCTCTCCCGTAAAAGCCAAAATTTCATTTGACGGCACAGTCGTCCAAGAAAAAAAAAAAAGGCGGTTTCTCAAGGAGTCACTTCCTCTCCGCTCCCTGCCCCACTTTGCGTTCAATAGTCTCCGCCACCGTGGTGGTGGTAGCGAGCACACGAGGACAAGCGATCATTTTGGAACGGCGAGGTGGACGTCCCTGCTGCTGCATTTTTATTCTGTCTGTGAGCAACTCTCTCTGGTACGTGATGGGGCATCAGAATACGATGAATGATGCATCATGATGCCGGCGTAGAATGTCTTCAATGTTGGACAATTTTCACGTTCCAACCTGAGCCGGTGGCCCCGGTAGTCCACTACCACCATCACCACCGTAGTTGGTACCCTTGAAACCTTCTGCAACAGTCCCCAGGGTCAGGGGTTCGGGTCTCGGCGTAAAGCGAGTTTTCTCGAAAAAACGTTACGTACAGTAGTTTTTTCGCGATTCCGTTCCTCCAGCCCCCCCTCCTGGCAATGGAAAGCGCTACAATAGAGTTAGTTGCAGTTCGTGCCTGCACTTACAGTTAGGGAAGAGCGTGAACTCTTCTCGCGTGAAGAATCGCATGGCAATAAGGAGGGTAGGGGGCCGTCACGGGGAGCAGTCCTCTGTCTGTCAACCACGCGGATTCCGTATGCAATATTGACTATAGCGGTCGTTCGTAGCACAACCACCAAACAAAACAAAAAAATACGATCCCCAGCCTCGCCCAGATTCACAGTAGTACGTAGTGCATGGTATGCATTTACTCCGAGTTTCGTATGAACAGGAATAGAGGTTCTTGAGTGCGGGTGTAAACTGCTGTAGCTCTTGAATAGAGCCAGCACTTATTATTCTGTTCTGCTGTTCCGAAAATGAAGACGACGAGAAAAAGAACGGAAAGAACAAAAATGAGGAGGGACTGGCCTGCGGCGGTACTGCCTGTACCAGAGCTACACAGAGTAAACAATCGCGCAGTAGATAGAGCCAGTGCCTACACAACAGATCCGATCACATCACATATGCGCTGCTTGCAGGAGGTAGGAAGGACAAGGAGCCCAAAGGGAGAGCGACGCTACTGGTGGCCTATAAAGTAGCACCAGGGGGGGCGTATCACGAGTACACTGCAAGAAGAAGACGGGGGGAGCGAGATATGTCCGAGGAAGCATCTTCGCCTGGTGTGTACTCCGACCACGATTTCGACTACGAGTATGACTCCGATTGTGACTACACCGACGGACAGAGGTCAGATGTCGCGGGCTCGAATACAGGACAGGTGAATGGGGTTTGCCTCGCCCGGAGTTGTCTATGCCTTCGCAGCAATAAAGCTAGTCTACAGGTCTACGACACAGTAGTACATGCACTGAAGCAGGCGAGCAGGCCGAGGTGTATGCGTGCGGTGGAGTTTGGTGGAGTGTGGAAACATGTTCTGCTAACGGCCAGGTATCCGTATCGCGTACAAGAATTTCCAGCGGGTCAGCATACACATGTTTCGCATCCCCGGATATTCTGTCGAGCTGCCCCCTCCGTTACCACCGCACTGTCTTGCATAGAGTTTATTGTGCAGCTGCCATGAATCCATTTAGTCTATCTTGTTTGGGTAGCATCGGGAAAGAAGAGACGTCAGCGTCGTCTCGTCTACTCAATTCTGGCCTCTGTCTGGTCCAACATATGCCGCACACCATCCTTGTCCAAGTCTCCCGGTCAGTCGGGCAGAACTTGAGTTCTCACTTTTTTGCGGGGATAAACTATTGCGTTCTATGCATGCTGTAGTCTATGCATACCAACCACAACAGATCGTCTCCACGTCCAACATTGATTGACGCTTTGGAGTCATTGTTCATTTTCGCAATCTCCTCGGCGACTGTGTACATACAATATATATAGATATATATAGTCTATCTCCGTTTGCATTGGCTCCACTACAATGCATGTATGTATAGTATGCATACATTGCATATTCCGGGGCTTGCAACGAAGTTTTGCAACGAAGGTATGCAACGACGTAGGTGCGACGAAGCCAGAGAGTAGTTGCCAGCTTGGTCTTTTACCCGGTTCGAAAGGAGAGGAGGCAGAAAAGCCCACTCGGTGTGTAATTGGTGACAAGTTGTGGCGGAAAAGCTGTGCCTCTCAGCATATTAAGCAGTATGAATCCTTTGTCTGGTTCAGCGTGTCAAATATGTACGGTTGGTGCCTGGAGAGGTTCTATGTGCATTTTCGAACGATTGCAAGGAACTTTCCATGGAACGTTCCATGAAACATTCCATTGAAGTCCCTGAAAATTTCATTACCGACCGTCCATGGACTTCCACGAACTTCCATGGAATTCCATGGAAGGCCGATCGAAGTCCACGTGATTCCATGGACGTCCATGACATTTTTCACGAACATTCGTGAATAGTTCCTGGATGCTCATGGTATTTTTGTCATGAAACTCCCGATGGTTGAAATTATTCACTGCGTGTCGTCCAACATGAAAACATTTCATGGAATCATTACATGCACATTCACGACATCCACTGAACTTCTCGCGCGGGCGTTGCGCTCTCGTCAACCGGTTGCGTCCCGGGACGTTCTGTGCATCATTGCTGCTTGCGATGTGAAGAGCATGGTTGGATGGCAGGTTCATTGGACGTCGTTCGAAACCTTTTCGATGTACCGCTGGACGAAGTACGGATGTTTCGTTGGCGCCGTACATGCTCGACGAGGCTTTCATATTCTTATGGGGATTTCCATTTCCAATAAACTATTATTGGGTTCTACAGGGATACACACAACCTGCTTGGAAGAAAATGTGCGGGGAGATAGCCTTGTGTTGCCGTATATATCATACATTCTCACCCATTCGCGGGGGAGTTTGACTGTGTGATGTGCCATAGAAGTAAACGACGGGTTGCAGTTCAGGGTTGGGCACGTGGGTATCGTACATCGCTGCACGGCCGCCATGTTCGAATGGGTGCAAGGTGTACCTTTGGTAATGAAATGAACGGGGATCGAGAGGCAAGGAATGACTATTGAGCATCGAGTCTTCGGCAGATCTTGGTAGACTTGCGTGAGAGATGGAGGAGTGAATACCCTTTATTGAATGGTAGCTATATGCCGGTTTGATGGCAACACTGTAGGCGGTATCGCCGAATGAAGTCGGGAAGGCATTGCGGCTCTCGCCGTTGTCTAAACGACACTTGCATTCCTGATTACCCGTCCACCCTGAAACTCATTCTTTCGAATAATTACACTTGTGGACAATCGCCATTGTAATGGTGGGATGCTGAAAGGCATCCCGTCGTATAATGATTTCAAAAGAGGACGTAAGGTGACAGCAACAGCATTAATGTTGACACGACTCTTGGTCGCGTCTATACTTCATTGGATAAGCCAGAGAGTCCGCGAAATAGGGTGGTTGGTGTTTGGAATATTGATGTGGATGTGGCAGCACTGGAGGATATCCAATCCGAACAACGTGTGGACACGAAGGAGAATGAAAACCTGGATCGTTGGTCTGGTGGGTGTGATCGTAGTGAGGTCAAATAGGGATACACACATATCAGGGAAATATGAAATTAATACGTACTACATGTTTTTTGCTTTCGCATGTGCACAACTGTCATATCACCAATAGACGTCGGCGTTGGGTGTGTAGAGTGAACAAGAGATTGATGTGTAATCGAGTTTGAGCCAAACACATACCAATTTTACCGTAAAACCTTCATGAGATTAACTCCACGTGAAGAATTCAACTACTGTATTTGAACAAAACTAACGGTAACACCCAAAATTCGTTGCCCCTCTCACATATCAATAGGATCTCGCAAACGGTGATGCATTGGCGATCAATGAAAGCCTTGACGGTGTCGCGGTGAGTGTTCAAGCTCGCTCAACGTACCAGCTTCGATTGTGGGTCGCCGTTCAGCCGTGGAGACTGTACAATCATCTCAGCTCTAGGACGGTGGAGGCGCTCGGTCTGGATCCCATGAAGGGAGTGATGGTACGGGGCTCGGTGTTTCAGTGAAACATTCCTTCGCTGGTTCCATGTACGGGGCTTCCACTTGGGGGGCAAGGACTCAGCTAGAGGTTCGGCGTGGCATACCACGAAAATTCAGAATTGGATGCCTCCCACACTTCCGTCATCTGGTACAATGTTGTTTGTGGATCTGCCTGTAGCCATTGACGATGGCTGAGTACGAGTGTACTTCTTGGAACGCGACTGGTGGCGCAGGTATTCGCGACGGAGAATTCGTGTGACTGAAGCCGACCTGTTTGCAATCGTTTTGTCGTGCTGGCAGGTCATGCTAACGACCGATCAACACTACACGCTGTCTACCGTTCGCCCGGAAGTGAAGTGGGTGAGACAGGTCCACCCTGACAAGATGGAAGAGAGTATGCGCTGCGATGGCAGGTAAAGGAGCATATATAAGCTGAGTAATTTCTGCCCTTCATTGCCGGTCGCTATCAGTTGTTCGGGGGCTTTCCGCTGTGCGAAATTGAAAGCGTTGTGATCGTGAAACCTTAGATATCACTGAAACCCGATCGTCCCGTGTGCCATCGACGGGACCTGCGGACACCCTCCCGTGTCGTCATGTCTCAAACGCGTAGCGTCGGCGACACCTTCTCGCTCGAATGGATGCTTCGAAAGAGGCTGGAAGAAGACCTGTCTCGGAACTGGCCCCCAGCTCCACGATGTGCCAGAAGCCCTGACGACAAACGTGATCCGGGGACAAGTGCAAGAGAGGAGGGTCTGGTCTGCAAGAACGATGAAGGGAAGTGCTCCAAGGATACCGTACGGAGGATGTGCGAATGTACTGGCGTCGTGGAAGAGCTTGCCGTGTACGCTCTGCAGGTTTCTAAGGTGCCGGCTCTGTGTGCAGCGATGAAGAGTCACGTGGCATGGCTCCCGTGTGTTTGGTTTTCGGTCGTTGTGTGGTGTTATGTGTACTGTAGTCTATGCATCTCGATTGGTTTGATGTCTAATGCGTTGTCTGCTCGTCCACGCACCAAGTCCAACGAAGGTTGTGATTACCACACGTTGTCCAGAGTGATTCCGCCACGCTCTTTTCAGGAGGAAGCGTGGTGCATAGGCGTATATCACCGTTCCGTGAGCTTGTCCACGCCGACCGCGACGGCCTGGTGCTGCAATTGACGGCTTTGGTTCCCGTATCGTGCCATCCAACTCAAGGGTCCTGTTCTCGTGCATAACCACACAATCGGACACGGCGGAACTCCATACGTAATGGAGTACTTAACACCGTCTCCATCTGCTCTCCCCCTCCGTCGTAGGACGATGAGCAGCGGGCTCATAACCTCCTTCTCGACATGGCGGAACTGCAGAACATATTTGAAGTTGTGGAGCAGGTGAGATTGATGTGGTCAATACTGTCAGAATGAATATTTGTTTTTGCGGAGACATCACAAAAGGGTTAGCGAGAAAACCATGGCCAATCGCATCTTCAATCAGTGAAGGCGCGATAATACCTCTATCTTCCCTTCGGAGAGCTATCACCGGCACGAAAGCCCTTGGGGTGAGTCTCCATTGACAATTCCCACGTATCAGCTTCAAGACCTCAACTCGGCGTGCCCTCTTGCGTGGCTTTCATCAGATGGTACTCCTTCACGCCGCTGCGGCCCATCCGAGAAACAAAGAGCTACAGTGCGACTTTGTCTGCCAAGTTGAGACCGGGGAGAGGCCGTCGTCCTGGACTATCCCGTCGCCTCTGCCATTGACGACGGAGGGTGAAGGAGGAGAGCGGCTGGGCCGAACAGTCGAGCTTGAGAATGCTGCGGAGACGACCGGGAACCTCTTGGTAGGAGACGTTGTGTATAGTGACAGTGTTGTTGGTTGCGATGTTCCTTTGATTTTGATGCGTGCGGCTGCCCATGGGTGATATCCAAACAGCATTCCAACTAACATGTATCGTGTCCTGCTTTTCGTGCATATCCCATGCTTCCGATACGATCTCCATACACGAGGTGCCTAACAACTCGCGCAGCGATTGTTGGATTCATCTTTCCGAGCTCTGCGCAGAACCTTCACACGTGGGTACGACTGACACGGACACCTTGAGTGACCACAGAAAAAATATTAAACCAATTCGAAGGGAAACGATAGCTTCACCCCCTTGCCGTCCTCATCCCCACCAACGAATATAGCTGCGCTTGGCGCTGACAATGATAGCCAAGATTCGGAACGCGAACAAGATCTGCTTGGTCTGTGGAGATGCCATTGAGGGCTACCTCCCGGCAGTTCCCATCGTGTGCCCAAAGGTAGAGGATTGCAGGGTAAGATAAGCTTGACGAAAGGGCAGGGAAGACGACTTCCGATGGAAAATCGAGAACGACGAGGGTGCGTGGGAGAAAAGTGGTAGATTCGGCCGGTTGTTCGAACATGGCTGGGCGTTGTTTCTCCAGGGATAACCAAGTCGCCCAACGGATAGTTCTTTCTCGCCGCTCATCGTAAGTATGGGAAGTCGAAGTTTTTCCAGCCGCCTTTTTTTTACTATACGGTGTTCTCTCCTTTGTCCAAGTGCCATCGAACGGCCGTGCACCACTTACTACCGCTGAAGAGAAGGTAATTTTTCGGCCCCATTGTGCAACTTTGATGATTCAGGCAAACGTCTTCAACGAGCTACATTTCTTCATTTGCTAGCTTACTTCTTCCCACACGGTAACATTCTCCTCTTTCGCAATCCCACAGGAACTATGTGTCATGAGCTCGGAGGAGATGGGATGCGGCACAGATGTCCATTCACAGGTTGTAAACTCCAGCGGTGCAGGCGTACCCATGATAAACACACCCTGAAGAAAGTAGGATAGAGGAGTGCGAACTTGAACTCAACTTCCGGTGCTTCTACTGAATCCTATATGGTAGTATAGACATGACCTGTGCTCAATCGTTTAGACATATATCATACTCCTTGTTCCGTGCACCTGGTTTCGGCGGGCGGCATCCACTTGAGAGTCTCCTGAACCTATGACCGCACTTCGGTTCGTTGGGGGTGAATGCTTGCCGCATCCCAAAGTGATACGCCAGAGGGTCAACACATACTGGATCGTAGAGTGCTGAAAGCGATTTTTTTCTGCTGCTCACGTGATTTTGAGACACGTGATCAAGGTGATGGTGGCCCGATATCAACCATACGCGCTTAACACACAATGGTGGGTGACCCCGACAGCAACGGCCTCCTCATAAACTTGGAACAACCTTCGAAGGCTTCCACATGAAAATAAATATCGTTCGTGAAGACTGTTTGTGGAAAATGTGTTGTCGATACGTCGAAGCAGGTGGAGAAGAAAGGGGAGACCGTCGATCTGCTTATTGATCTGTTCTATATGGCAATGCATGGTCGCCGGCCGGAGCTTGCGTTTCCTAGCACGGTGAGATACGTGCTACGGAGTCTTATTGTGAGAATTTTCTACATCTGACTTTGGCATGTCACTCATCATATCCTTCATGTTCCTCGCACCTCTCACGCGTGGACACCTGTCGCGTCGCATCAATGTGATGGTTGCTGCAAAGGCGCACCAGAGTGTTGGGGATTCATAATAACTCGTTCTACCGGGGGCACTTGGAGATATGTGCATCGCTGTCCCAATTATTTGGTGGCAGTGACCAAAGGGTTGCGAGCGCGGTATCTACATGTAAGGAGTTCTGTGTATCACGCCCGTGAGACCGCGCGGTTCCATCTCGCATTGCGAGCAAGACTCGTCTTTGAAGCGAGAGGGAGCAGCAGCACGTTACACGAGCAAACCCCTTTGTAGCGACTCTTCGACAAGTGTTAACGTCCATCTACATGGCATTCTACTCTGCCACAGGTTCAGCTGGGTGCCATGGAAAGCGGCAAAAGCGACGAACAGAAGGTGGGCTGAATGACAGCCAGTAGTGACGGATATCATGGCGAGACCCCTTCTCATGCCTTCTTAGCAAGCCCCAAGACGTTGTTCTGGTAGTCCCACATGCCACCATTCGGGCTTCACTACAAGAGCTCCTTGATGACGAGCTGCAGTTGGCACCCTATTCAAATGCAGCGATCCACGTTTCGGCCAGGTGCGTGAAATACTCGCTACCTTCCCAACTGTGGAAGACATGAGGCGGAGTGTCAAGAGGATTGCCGAAAAACGGAAAGTCGGTAGTCCTTCCTCCAGCTCCAACTCCAGCTCCAGCTCCAGCTCCGGCTGGGGTGAACAAGCCAACGTCGCAGACGGGAACATGGGCGACATTGAAGGCGTCAATCCGAGTTCTTTTGGCGCTGCTTCGGTTGCCGCTGTCGTTGATGCTGCGGTTGCCGACAATATTGACGAGGGCGACACTGAGGATGCAGCTGAAGCTGTTGCGAAGGCAGAGGCCATCGCCGCTGTCGAAGCTGTCGCTACTGCAGAAGCCATTGCTGCTGCTGAAGAAGCTGCTGCAGCCGAAGCTCTTGCTGCAAAGGAGGCCGCCGCTGACGCTGCCATGGGAGGCGTAGTTGCTGGTTCTCTACTTGGTATCGCCGGAGCCGAGGGACACGACGATGCAGAGGCTAACGATGGCGGGAAGGGGAGGGAGGAGTGGAACCCGCTGTCGTATGCGTACCCACTGCTGCGATGGCTACTATCAGCGTGAGTAGTACCGTAGCAGTTGGCGTTCGTCCGTCGGTGGCCTTGATCCCACATTTGATAAGTTTTGTGGTGGTGTGGTTAAAAAAACAGCCGGCTTGAGACATGCTATGTGGTTCGAACATGTGACTTGAAGACGCTGGGTTCGAGTCGCTCTTCAAAATTGTGTCAGTTCCCTATCTCCAAACGACGAATGAACCGAATGAATCTTGGTTTGTCGTTGCAGGACCCGGGCTCATCTCCGTCCGTTGCGCGAAGACGAGATCATTCGTGAGATACCATGCGCGAAGCAGTTCATGCTCGTCACAGGTTGGTGGGGGCACCGGAAAGAAGCTAGGGTTCAGGGGGGTGGATGGTGAAGCGCCCCATTTTCAGCACGAGAGTAAAATCTTGATTCCGCTGATGTATGCGGTTCCCTCACTACAACAGTTCTTTTCCTGTCGACTGTCAGCTTTATTGCATAGCACGAATTGAACGGGGTGGGCGTATTCAGGCAAAGAAACGTTGTTGGCGACTTATCTCTAGGAGCAAGCGTATATAGCGTGTTTCGAGACAAGCGGTCGTTTCAATTCGAATGATTCATGAAAAAAACAGGCCCCGCCCGATATGAACAGCGACCGATGCCCACTGAATATTGTCAATCGTCTACCCCGTTTTCAAAATGACGTCGAGGACGAGACGCCTGAGTTTTGGTGGTCACCGGTTAGTTCGTATGACGCCTTCCATAAACTTAAATGGCAGCGGATAGTCCAAACCTATCGGAACCCCATTGGCGACGACAGCGAAGAAATGGCTGGACTCGCCGCCGACCGCTCGGTTCTACGGACCGCCGACATTATTCTTGTCTTGTAAACAAGAACGCATTCGTGGATAGTGAGGGTGATGCGGAGATGACCGTTGAAAAGGGTTGCATCTCCGCAAGTCGCGTCTCCTTACCCCGCTCAGCGATTTCGCTCCTGCGTTCAATCTGTATCGAACAACCCACGCGTGGTTTTTCGTGCCTGTCTCAGGCACAGCGGAGCGCGAGGCAAACTTTCAGAGGATGAAGAGGGAGGCGGCTTCGAATGGGCGGACGGGCTCGTTTTTCGCCTTTCACGGTAGCAAACCCGATAACTGGCACGCTATCCTCCAGTTGGGCCTCAAGAACATGTCCGGTATTTACGACCCCCCGTGTCATCAAAACGACTGCTGGTTAGAGAGTGGTTCGGGAGGGTTGCTGAAAAATATTCGGACTTGGTGAACTTTATGGTGTTGATGCGCTTTGGACCCACACTCACGTGATTCCTTCATTTGCAGTTCACCCCGGTGGTTGACACTCTCGTCCGCAGAGCCCCCCCGCCCCGATACACACACCTAGTGTTGCTAACGTTCATGTCAGGCGATATTTTTTTCGCCTCATTCTGTTGGTGGTTTGGTACAAACAACGTGGCTTGTGGAACCAACTTGCACTGAAGATCTGTGGATGCAAGTTGTGGTATTGTTTAACTACCGGTGGCACAAAATGATCAGCCGCGTGTAGTCTGTACGTCGTTTGTACGATAAATGGTGAAGAGCTACGGCGTGGCAGGAAAGTACCCATTATAGTGCCAAGGCAGGAAAACAAACGGCTTGAAAAGGATCATGTCAATGTACGTTCCTTGCTCCACACTCCGATTACGGATAAAATCAAGGCTCCAAGTACATGTCCAGCGGTGCGGCTTATGGCAAGGGCGTTTACATGGCCGATATGCTCTCTGTCTCACTCGGATATGCGGCGAGCGATGGCACGGAGCACTGGCCGCTTGGTAAAACAAGTGGAATGGCTGTCATCGTGGCAGTCTGCGAAGTGGTTGACAGGCAAGGGACTGCCACGATCGAATGTGTCGACTGCTTAAAAGGAGAATAATATGCGCTGCATCCGGCCAGATTCGGCACCTAAGAGGCCCGCTGTGGCGGGTCTCCCACGCTTTCAATAATATTGCCAAACAGCCCATGGGGCACCCATGGGCTTCCCATGGGCACCGAAGTACCCATGGACGCAGTGTACCCATGGGCGCGGTGGTACCCATGGGCTGCCCATTGGGGATGCCCACGGACAAACCCATGGGCCGTCAATGAGTGCCCTTCAACCGGAACCAGTGTACTCCAATACCCTGCAGACTATCTGCTTTGGAAGGGACGTACAGTAGTAACGGCTAAAACCCTAACGGAACCCTATCCCTAACTCCAATCCGACACGTACGCGATGTGGCTCTGGGTGGCTAAGTTCTAGATTGATGTGCCGGTGGCTAATTTCTACTGTAGGTTGATATGCCGGTATCGATTTTCTACGTTTTGAAGTGCCCACGGTAGGCACTTCGTGGGCAGTTCATGGGCTGCCCAGGGGTGCCCCATGGGCGGTTTTGCAAAACTGCCAGTAGTGTGGGGAATTGGATGCGGCTAATTGCTTGCAAGACGCCATAGAGACTTGTCCACTGCTCACACACCCCGCGTGATCCTCCCTCAGGCGGACCTACAGTAGTATCTCCCTGCTTGTTTTTCACCGTTCCTGAATTTAGCAGGCCGCACTACAAGAAAGCTAATGGATACTTCGTGGTTCCCGACGACGAATGCGTGGCCACCAGGCGAGTGGCCTCTTCAATGGTGCTCGCAATACCCACGAAATGCATCGGCCGGCTAACAATCGAACCAAGACTTCCATGCCAATATTTTCCCTAATACCTCCGTGCCCGTGTTCGCTGAACGCGTCGTGCGTTTGACCAACAGGTTTCTATTGGTAGACCCTTCACCAACCGGAGGAGGCGCAATCTCTGCTAGCAAGCTAGCGCTCAATCTACAGGTGTAACAATTCTGCGAAGATATATCACCGTTGTCGATGGCACGAGTGTGTAGTCGAAGGTGGTCTGGATACGTCTCATTCGTTTCGGCCTCTGTGACGAGCACGAGGGACCTTCCGAATAAATTCAAGGGGGGCGACAGCTACAGTAAACGCACTGTGGTTCGCGTTCTTTGCGTACATTCCCGGTGTTCGTCCTGTGGGGAGGGTGCCTCTCTGCTCCAAAAGCAATAAAATAGTTTCAAGCAGACGGCAGGCCGGTACTCTCGGCTTATGCCGTTGCAGGCCACAGCGTCGGAAGGATGCAAGCATTGAATTGCGTCAGACTGATGAGTGACTTAGTTGGGTTAGCCCGTGATCGTGATCATAAAACTCATGACAAGACCATTATCGCGGGTCATGACCGGATCATGATCGGGTAATTATCTAGGTCTTGACCCGGTTCGTGACCCGATCTTGAGCAAATACATAGAACGAAAATCGATTGGTTGCCGGTTGAAGGGTAGAAGACGATGCTGTCGTAGAGCAGGGCAGGGATTCGACACTACCCTTTCTTTCCTGCTTGGGGTGTTTTCGGCTGTGTCGGCGGGAATATTTGCACACGCGACAAGGTCATAGCCCCGTCGCTATGGGTCATGGCCGAGTATTGGGCAAGTCATGATCGAGTCATGACCGAGCCATGACCGAGTCATGCCCTAGTCCTGACCGAGCCATCGAGTCATGGGCGTGTCATGATCGAGTCATGGACAAGTCACGACCGGTTCTTGAACTGGCCAACCCGGTCACGGCCGAGTCATGACCAAGGGATGACCACTGCATGACTTCGGTCGTGATCGAGATCGTAATCGAGTCACGACTCTATCTCGATGACTCGGTCATGACATGATCATGACCAAGACTCGGTCACGACCGTGGCAATGACTCAGCTATCGCCGAGTGAGGACCGAACCATGAACGAGGCATGACTTCGGCCACGACGGAGGTCATGAGACGTATCAGCCATGAAGGAGGACCACGCGTTCCGCCGAAGTGCCGAGGAGCAGTGTTCTGGTGAAGGAGTTAGCCCCGGCCCCCTTCACCGCGGGTGATTCGGCGCGGGGAGCCAAAGTCCTCGCTGATGCGAGAAAATGGGCTTTGGTGCCGGGTTTGAAATTCCAAATGTGCGGAGGATCCCCTCTTACCCCTCAAGCCCACCATGAACGCAATATCGTCTGTACCGAGATGCTTCGACAATGGCATGCCTGGCAAATTTCAGGTACGTACACCATTTCAGTTGATACTGCGCACGTGTTTGGTCAATTTTTTGTCAAGAGGCCACAGGAACTTTGTGCTAGCCGTCTTATCCCTAGCGAAGGTGGCTACGGCGAGTGCTTGCCACAGACCTCATGATTCTTCTGCAGATGCAGCTGTTCCACGCACGCGAGGTGTATGATACTCATCATCTGCATTTCAGATCGTCCGAGGCATCACTTCCGTGATCGTATGCGTAGCGCCAGTGAATGCGCCGGAAGTCGACGTTGCACAAACGCTTGTCTGTATGGAGGAGCCACTCTGTACTCCTAGTGGCGAGGTGTCCAAGTTAGGCCGTAGCCTGAATCGGTTGAAGAAGATTTCGCGGACAGGCATCAAATCGCGCGCTCGTTTGCTATAATGCGCGCTCCTAGTGTTGGTATGGTGGGCCCTTCACGCCATCGCTCCATAGTTCCTGTGTGCAACACTCTCGTTGACAAACGCGGGGATTGTCCCTCTACCACCTTTTTAACTACGGGAGCGATAATGCCATCGCACCAGCTACAGCTCCCAGTCGTCGTCAGCAGCATTGTTCGCTTGTCCGCCAGCTGCGTTGCTCTTGACCACATCTTGGCCTTCATACATATCCAGAATCTGGGCCAAGGCCCAAAGACATGACGAGTGCAAGCAACAGCCACACAGCGACAGCAACAAATCAGCAGCAAGAACAACAACAGCAACGACGAAGGCAGGAGCACCAACAACTCCCTCGAGATAGACAGGGAACTTTGTCGAGGAAAAAAAGCACAAGAAGAGAAGGAATGCTGACGCTTTTCATTCGATCCCAGTCGGGAAAGATGGGGCAGGAGCACATTTTGTTCGAAAACCAGCCTACAACCTGTGAAGGATTTACCGAGGGTTTGGGAAAAAGCATGCCTCCAACGTGAGCATTGGTGGGGGAAGACGACCAGAATCCACGTTTGGACGTTGCGATACGGGGCAATGAAGGAAGATTACACAAAAAACGGGTTTCAAATACAAGCGCCGAGCGGGGCCGCCCGTGAAACTTGCACGTCGATTCACTCTTCCCCAAACAAACAGCACCGTCCAAAGCCTTTCCCTGGGGCCTTCACTCTCATGATCATCGGAGTGTAGGACGCAAAAGCCAAAACGAAGCCACGGCCGTACCAAGCCCCATCCTCAGCTAGGCGCCGTGTCGCATGCCGCAGCGCGATTTTCCCTCTCACCTGGTCCGACGTAGTGGCCTGCTCCGGGTCCTTGTCTTCCCGCTCCCGCAACAGACGGGGGAAGCGGATACTGATGCCGCGGTCGGGCTCCTGCGCGATTTTTCCGATGGCGGCCTTGTGGACGGGAGACTTGGACAGGTCGGCGCACTTAACCTCCCACACCTGTGTCATCCAGAATCGTATCGGGTCGGGACAAATCGCGGGTGATGTCGTCTACACGAGGGCAAGCGGAGAGCGGCCTCGGGCGTCCAGCAGGTGTATCGCAAGAAAGGTAGACCTTGCAAGAAAACATGGCTTCTATCACGCCGGACGACCGACGGACGAAACCAGATTCGAGCGTGCGACCAACAGCCATGAATCGATTTCCCTGTTAGTATGCGAAAAAAAACAGGGTACACCTCGGTACTAGTTTTTTAGGCGGATTCAGGCGGGGCGGTACTTCAATGTGGCGGTAATTTTTTGGCGGTAGGCGGTATTCGTTTTCCGGCGGTACCGCCTGTGGCGGTTCCCGGTACTGCCAATTATGGCGGTAATTTTCTGGCGGTACTGCAATATGGCGGTTCTTTGTAGGCGTTTCCCGGTACTTCGTTTTTTGGCGGTACTTCTTCGCCGGTACTGCAATATGGCAGTATTTTTTAGGCGGTAGGCGGTATTTCGTTTTTCGGCGGTACCGCCTTCGGCGGTTCCCGGTACCACCGAATGTGCGGTAATTACCGCCAGTACCGGGACCGCTCATCACGGCGGGAGAAAAATGGCGGGAATTTTCCCGAGGTGTACCCTGAACAAAATAAAAAATAACTAAGAAAAAATAAAGTATAAAGAAAAATTTAGAAAAAAATAAATGCATATATATATGACAATAGAGAAAAAAGAAAAAGAAAAAAGATGAACGAAGATGCAGGCCAGCTAGACTCGAACCGCTGTTCTACACGGAAAATCGCCCTTCGTACACTCTTCTTGCCTACTTCTCTCCCAGGTGCGACAACCTCACAGGCTCGTGCGACATGGCGGTAGTTTTACCGCGGTACTGTAGTATGGCGGTACTTCTACGGCGGTACTGCAGTATGGCGGTACTATTTTGGCGGTACTGCAGTACGGTGGTACTTTTTCGGCGGTACTGCAATATGGTGGTTCTTTTTAGGCGGTTCCCGGTAATTCGTTTTTTGGCGGTACTTCTTCGCCGGTACTTCAATATGGCGGTACTTTTTAGGTGGTAGGCGGTATTTCGTTTTTCGGCGGTACCGCCTTCGGCGGTTCCCGGTACCACCGAATGTGGCGGTAATTACCGCCAGTACCGGGACCGCCCACCACGGCGGGAGAAAAACGGCGGGAATTTTCCCGAGGTGTACCCTGAAAAAAACACCTCGTACGTACCTTGTGAGGTGCAAGCCAGACGTCCGGCGAGAGGCTGTCCGCCACGTTATAGTACCTGCGTGCCACCCGGGCCGGACACACAAAAAACATAAATACCACAAACCCGAAACACAACGGGACCGGGAAATCATGTGAGGCAAACACATCAGCGAGTGAAACCGCTACCGGTGTTGTCCAAAAAAGCAGTAACCACCGAACGTCAAAACCATTGTTCGTCTCTGACAGGTGCGGCCCTGCGGCGTCACGCACCCGCGGAGTACACTAAGCGGGCAACCTGAGTGCCGCGAGGCACTGGCAAAAAAAACGCCTCGGGAGAAGGAGCGCCTTGGGGAGATCACCACCGTGGTGACCTCTTAACAATACATTCGTAGTGCCGAACGACGAAAACCACCATCAATATATACATGTCGACAACGAGCAGGCGAAAGACATGACCCCAGGCGAATTCTCCAACATGAAGTGTGTAGGCCCTGCTCGAGCTTCTGCTACGAACAGGGCGAGTTGGGAAAGCGCGAATATCTCCACCGTCAAGCCGGCAAGAAGCACCGGGTTTGGGCCCATCGACATCATAAAAAAAAACGCGTTCCGTACGCGCCGTATGGTTGCTGCAGTCGTTGCTGACGCAACGTGATAATTTCGTCGTGCTGGTCAGTCGTGCGGCTCACCTCGGACGCTGCTCCACCGTGTGCTCCTTAAGCTCCTCCCAGAAAGAATTGAGAATCTCGTCGGTGAAACCGGTGCCGATCTTGCAGACCGATTGATACTCCTCTCGGTCGGGCTCGTAGCAAGCCAACAAGTACGCCCCGTACTTGCCTGACGAAACGGACGCAAGAACAAAACGAGCAGTTTCGGGTGGCATCCCAGGAGAGGCGTCAGACAGAGAGATCGAGGGGCGTCTCTGCATGATCAGCTTTTTCCTGAACCCTGGTTCGGACGTGGGCCGCCACAGTTTTGATCGGAAGCTCAAGCATTCTCCAGGGGGTTTTCGTCACCCGGGTTCTCCTCGGTGACCCATCACTCCAAACAAATGTGCAAGCTTTGGTCTGTCGCCGCTGATCTGTTCAAGAAGGAAAAATAAAACGCGGTAGGTGTCTTAAACCGCTTTTATGTTGCCAGCTGCCCATCGGCATCAAGACAACCAACTCATATGGAGGCAAAGAGGTGGAACGAAGCTAACGCCCCACGTCGTCACTCTACGGGCTCTTGGAGAGCGACGGGGCTGCGGGTCGCGGGTTGCGTCAGTACCCTCGCCAGCTGTGCGCGCTCAAGACCACAAGCCGCGGTACCGCCCCCATCTTGACGCCATTACCTGTGGACGCGCCTCCCATCCCCCATATAAAGCTCCGAAACAAAGAAAAAAACGGACACCCAATGGCAGTGCTTCCAACTTTACACTACATGCAGCTGTTGCTGATGCTGCTGCTGCTGCTGCTGCTGCTGCATCACATCAGGATCAAAGGCGTACCCGTGCGTTTCCCCTTCCCAAAGAAGGCGCCGATGGGGACGAGGTCAAGCGAGTCTCCCACGCCCCCACCGTCGGCCTGGAGGTAGTCCTTCTTGAGCTTGAGCCAGTTGAGGGACCTCTTGGACGGCTCGTAGGAAGAGTTTGCCTGGCACCAGGGATAAAAAAAAACAGAAGGAGTCGTGAAGCATACTTTGCAGTAGCAAAAGCAGCAGCAGCAGCAGCAGCAGCAGCAGCAGGCGGGACATGCTACACAGTCGAAGCGCCGTCGTGGGACGGTTGGGTGTTCTTGGCGCCGCGCTGAAGAATAAGGTCGGCATCGTACGACGGGCCAACGACTCTTGTGCCCGTCTCGCGATCGGGGGATTCAATGGACGGACACACGATGTTCGTGAGGGGTTCCTTGCCGGCACAACTACGAGGAAGCAGTGAGTTCGGTATCCGGTGGGCAGTGTTTGCGAAGTCGGACGTGCTGGAAGCGGTGGAAACAAGGGCGGATCTGTGGTTGTCTGTTGGGGGGGGAGCAACTGCCCACCACTGTTATGGGGGGGCAACCGCCTACCAAGCTCCCTCACCAACATGGTGCGGTCGGAAGGAGGAAGACAGCGAGAATCGAGACCAGCAGAGTAGTGCATTTGCCACAGAGTAGGGGCCTGCACTGCTCGGGTGCAATGCATACGGCAATGCATACGGTGCGTAGATAAAAACACCGAACGAAACGGTGCGAGGCTCACAACCCTAAACCCTAAGAGGCCTCCAAATTCGAGGGAAAACTCTTGAGTGCCTTTCTCACCGTAAGCGTCTTGACCATAAGCCCCTCGCAGTTCCCCTTGACAGCTTCTGACAAGAACTCTTCGATGGGCCCGGTGTCACCGTCCTCCTGGTTCGGGGAAAGAACAGCGGGCAATAGTCGGATGCCAGTCTGGTAAAAACAAGAGCGGCATCACTTCCAAGCAAAACCGTCAATCCGTGACAAATCACAGCCATGGCATGACCTGCCGTGAAGACAGGTAGTGATAGGAACACGTTGTTCGCAGATAAGCAAGTGTTCGACGAACACCCCCCCTCTCTCTCTATTCGTATTCCTCCTGACCTTGTGATCCATGAAGGTGGCGAATCGAAAGCGTCCGTCCACCTCCTTGAAAGTGCTGCGCAGGAGCCTCCTTCTTTGCTTCAACGGCTTCTGCAGCAGCGACTGCCGATCACAAAAAAAAAGACACGAACGGCAACAAACGCACGCACAGAGCGAAAGACAAAAAAAAAGAAACACTCTTGCCTGAGCGTCATCGTGCTGGAGTTGCCTCCTCCCTGAAGCCTGTCGCGTCTGGCTCGTTTGTTCTCGCTTCTTTCTTTCTTTCAGGGTAGAACGGGGGGGGGGTTACCGGGGTTTGGTGTGGTAGCATCACCATCAGCTGCTTCGAGTGGAATCAGCGACTACTGCAGACTCGAAACGATCTGTGCGTGATCGTGTGGCGCGGTCGAAAGACCCCCCTCGCGCCCCTTACCAGTCGTCAAAACAGCAAAAAAAGGGTGCTGCAGGGCTTACGGTCTGTTTCGTATCCATGGCAGCCGCATCCCAACTCTCAACTATTTTTCGCTCCAAAAGGAGCGAGGACTTGCCGGTGCAAGTCTCGGCGAAACGCTCCAAAAACGTGCCAACAGAAACGAGAGCAGGTGCCGGTCGCGGAATTCATACACACATGAGACTTTTATTGCTTCAAACCAAGGACTGACGCCTGATCGTTGGTCAGCCAGTTAGCGCGGTCGATGACGACGGGAAACATACACGCGCAAACACACGTGGTAGAGAGGGTCCTAGAAAGAGTGCAGGGGTGCAAATCATGAAACCAAGCAGCAATCGCCACCGCGAAAAGAGAAGCCGGAGACCATCTCACAAAGCGTGATGCTAGTTAGCATAGGGGAAACAGATAATGCGACAGCAATCCCTGCTTGGGGGTGCTCAGTCTTCTCCTTGTACTCTGGTGGCAGAGGACAAAGTTTGTCCAACTCCTGCGCCCGCCTGTCGGGAGAACCCCGTAAGACTGTTCGTTAGTTAGCCGGTATGGGGTGGAAGCGAATCTAAAGAAACGCACACCCCACACACCTGGCCGTTAAGGTAGAGCATGTCGAATGCTTCCACGATGACCTTGACCTTCACGTCCTCCGCGTCCACATCCTTCCGGCCGCGGGTAGACAGCATCTGGCGGGGGGGGTGAGGGAACGGGCATACGGTTCGGCTCGGCCATGGGTTTGATGTTTGGTTCGGTGGCCCCGTTGCGATCGAACTGGCTTGTCTTGGTCGTCGTGTGGGTCGGGTCGGGTCAGCTCGGGTCGGTTTGGTTCGGTTCCATTCGGGTCGGGTCGGGTCGGGTCAGGTCGGATCGGTTATGTTCTCGTCTCTCATCTTTGCACCATGCGCTTGTTGTTCGGTCAGCCCAACGAACACCAATACCGCCAAAGTCAGTTGGAGGCACACTCAACCCACCGCCCTGACCGCCCTGGGCAAAACAACAACAAAACGAACAACACCCTGCACGAGTGGGTGAAAACAATCTCAATCATTGTTGTACCTGGAACGGAAGGAGGTTCCCGGTTTCCCGGTCGTAGGCCACCACCTCCGTGTCGATGACGTACGACGACACCCCCTCTTTCACGCAGTCCTGGGAAATGGCACACACAACAACATTGGGCGCAGAAACGGGGTCACGGACGATGTACCAAGCACCAACGCCTCATGATAATCTTCGCCCCGCCGCCCTTGCCAAAACGGCAACCGTCATCAGCGACACTCTCGCTCCGCTGTCCTTGCCAATACGGCATTCATCCATGCACCCGATCCCTCCATCTAGAAAAAAAACACACGGAATACACCGCAAACCGAACCCGCAACCGTGGTGACCAAAAAACAACCCGAGAGCACGACACTGACAGGAAGCAGGCCCCCCCATCGAAAGCGACACTGTACTAATGGTTCTCACGGCAGCACGAAATCGAGCAAGCGCAGCAAGAGCTTGTGGACTGCTGTCAGTTGTTCGGACTGAAAGGCTTCGGCTGCGAGGCCTGTCTTCAGGCAGTCAACACACGGGCGCAGTAGAGGCGTTCACATGCCGATCTCGATCTTGGGCTTTGGCTGAAAGCTTGGCTATCGTCGCCCAGATCAGGGATCGGGGCGCGGCACAGAGCAGAATGTTCAGCTAACTTGCTTTTTCGGCTGTTGCGCATATTGAAACGCCGGCGGTGAAGGCACAACATCGGGAAGCATGAAGCACGGCGATGTGTTTGTCCGATGCAACTTCGACTGCCGAGAGGATACCTTCATGACCGGGATGAGGTCGGGGAGTTCGGACGAGCTGTCCTTGCTGTTGCGGCTGAAGAACCGCAGGCTCCCGTCCTCCTTGTGGTGGACCTGCGCTCGCACGCCGTCGTACCTGGGGATGGGAAATTAAAAAATAGGCACTAGTAAGCAACCGTTATCGCCCCACGACAACAACAACAACAACAACAGCAACAACCGACGACGTTGGCGTCACCATTATCACCATCACCATCAACGCGCAAAAATAAAAAAGCGAGACGACGACGACGACGGCCACAAGAAGGAAGCGCACATGAGACGTGATGAGATGAGAGCAAGGAAGCAAAGAAGGAAAGAGGCCGAGAAGGAGGCAAACGAAGCAGAGAAAGAGAGGTAGAGCCAATTAGCAGGGCAACGCCAAGCAGGACCTCTTTCTTGCTGGCTGCGGCCTGTCATAGCTTCGACGGGTTGTTGTTCGAAGGGCTTCTGCGACATGTTAACTCGGAACCATTGTCGACGACGTCGTAAAATATGGCACCAGCCAGTAGCACACCATCTATTGCCAGCAATATTGTATTCACAAAAGAACGGCCGCATTGATCACCAGTCTCCCTCGTTGCAAGCCCCTGTCTCTCCATTATCCTCCTCCGCCCAATTCCCAACCCTTACCGTATACTCCTACCGTGCAACCTCGCCCTGCACTCACTTGTACTCGCAAGTGAACTCCTGGCCGGACAGCCTCTGCAGCACCTCCCCGATGGATTTGGTGGGCTTGGCGAGCATTGGGAGCACAGGCACGCCTGGCGTCAACCTGCATGCCTGCTGGAGCCTGGAGGGGGTGCGGATGGGATTGGTGCGGTTTAACGGGGGGGGGAGGGGGGGACGCAGAATGAACGGAAAGGGGTGCGGCTAAGGATCCAGGGCGGTCCAACCGACTGAACGGGGCGTCGGAAATGGCAACTCGTTCGGCTCTGCATTTTTCGATTTTCTGGGGGAAGAGGGCAGAGGAGCAGCAGCGCTTGAGGAAAATTGGCACCCAAAGACGCGAAGAGACTACACCGAATAGAAAAATCCACGCCAGAGAGACTGGTGTTTCGAGGGCCGTGCCAACGGCAGAGCTGTGGCGGAATCACGACAAGGGGCTTGCTCACTGACACTTTCGTGGTGAGAGAAAGAGTGAGGCAAGAGGTACGGCTAGGGAAGCGAAGGGGCACGGTTGCACAGCTGTCGTGGAGCACGACAAGAGACCAAGACCCTCAAAAACACGACAAGAGACCAAGACCCTACACGAACAACAACAACAACAACAACAACAGTAGCTGCAGCATCAGCAGGACGAGCAATAGCAGCAGCACTAGCAGGAGCAGCAAGGAGAAGGAATGGTTGTTCACACCGAAGTCTGGAACCGCCTTGACAGCCTGGCGCAAACGTCATCACCGCCGTGCCCGCGAAGCGAAGCGGGGGCGGCTAGGGAACGATTGCCTTCAACGAGGAAGGACCTGGTCTCAACTCGGGCGACCTCGAAACACAAAACCAATCTCCGCGACACCCTACAAAAAGGCATCACCCCCGGGTGATATCTGTCTCCACGTACGGTACGGGCCACGCAGACCTAGCCCACGCGAGGGACGCACCTGTACAGCGGGGTCGAAAGGATGGCCTTGATGATCTGGTCAAGGTTGCGGCATTCCGAGTACGCCTGCTTGACCAACTGGCAGGCCAGTTCCAATCTCTGTTCCAAGTGGCTCGCCGGGGTGTCACGGAGCGCTCGCGCAACAGGGATAAGACCTGTCGAGCGAACATATTTGCCGCCGTCGCCACACGGGGTCACCGACCACGCGGTATCTTAGCGGAAAATTGGATGCAGGCAGTCTTGCTTCTCCCGCCGACGTTCGTGACATTGGGGTTCACGCCGGAAAAACTAGTCCGCTGCCCCCCACACACAAAGAAGAACAGCAACGAGTATGCCGAGAAATGGGCCTGCCCCCACTGCCCACAGCAAAATGTGTTGTTATGGAAGGTTATTCCGCATACACGCGAGCTGATTCAACCCAACCCCCAAAACATACTCTCTCACGCACCGTCGATTTCCTCCTCCTGCGAAGCATCCTCTTCCTCCCCGCCGCCGCCATCTTTTCCATCACCGGACTTGTCCGCCACCGCCGCCGGCTCCCCTGCCACCCCCTCTTTCCCATCGTCGGAGCCCCCCGCTTTCTCCTCGCCGGTGGCATCGACTGGTCGTTCGTCCCCTTCGCCCTTCCCGCCGCCGCCGCCGCCGCCGCAGTCGTCGTCCGCCTTCCCTCCCTCGCGCTCCTGGTCCGCAAGAACTTTCTCCGCTTCTTCTGCGGCCAGCACGGCCTCGGACGGGCACGTCACTGCGGCGTGGGAGAGAGAGACTGCCGAAAAGGAGGGGGTAGGGAAGGGGGGGGGGGGGGGGTCGCATCACTCGGAGCGTTCCGAGCAGCCGGTGTGATGGTCTTCACCCCAATGCGGTCAGACAGGGGGGCCAGTACCCAGCGTCCCGGAAGAACACAAGACAGTGTCCAATGCCTACAAGACCGGTGTCGTGGGCGAACAATCGCAACAGGTCCAATTCCACCAACACCTCAGCCGTAGCCCCCCTCATAGCCGAAGTCCAGGGCCGCCTTCAAGCACACAAAACACACTTTTGAGTGTTCTGTACAACTGCCGAGGGTGCGACGGCCAGACGAACAAACGGCCAGCCCCGATCCCAGAAAAAGCCGTCCACGCCGACACATATAGCGTCAGAAACGACAAAAATACTCCCAAAACTCAGGAAACGACGCTTGAGTCCAGAATTACCGAGCACCGTTCATTATCTCCGGCACTCGAAAGACCAATGCGCGTCATTTTTAACAAGATAATACATAAAAAAACAGGCAGGCAGACTACTACACCCGTTCGACATAAAACCACAGGCCTTTGGCAGAGAGAAACGATCAGTCGGTTGGACGACAGAGAGCCAGTCTCACCCATGACGGTGGTGTCGGTGAGGCCGACGCGCATCTTCCCCTGGAGCCCCCGGATGATGTACTTGGCCTGGAGGCCCTTGCAGGACACCAGCATCTGCCAGAGACAATGGCGTCCCGTCAGTACCGTTCTTCTCGTCTCCACCAACAATTGGCATAGGCAGCGGCACTCGGTGCCGCAGGACGAGCGCCAAGACAACAATACACTACCACAGACACAGGGACACCTCCACATACTCAGGGAAGAGGAAGAGCCCCGCCATACCGCACGGCTCGCGTACAACCCGCCTGCGCCTTGCACCAGGCAAGCACAGTGGCCGAGGTGCTGCAAGGCGACACGAACAACGTATGAAAAATAAATGAAGGCAGGATGCGGCCGCGACCTGCACCTTCTTGATGCGGTTGATCTTGTCTTCCCCCGAGGAGTTGCCCTTGACACGAGCGATGGCTCGGTACCTCTCCAATCCCTGGAGCGGCGGCGGGGGGGGGGGGGAGAGGTCGAAGGGGATTCAAACACCGCCAAAACCCGGTCAGGTGAGTAAGTGCACGCCGTCTCCCTAACGAAAGTATCAAATGTCATCACCAACTTTTTACAACGACAACGACGACGAGGTTGACGACGACAACCAATGGCAACAACAACAGAGGCGACAGCGACAACTGGAACGCCGACGACAACGACAACAACAACAACAACAACAACAACGCTTACATCTCTCGCGGAGAGGGCCTTGATGGTCTGCCCGAACGAGAGCGTCCCCTGCGACTTGGTGGAGTGCTGCGCCACCTCCCCCAGGTCCCCGGCCTTCTGCGCGGCCGCTTTGATCTGCAATGGCCAGCAAAAGCAAGGGGGACGCAACAGCAGCCAGTCCCCTAAGCATGATGGGTTTTCGGTTTCGACCTGTTAATGCTACCGCCGTCTCGACATACAAGCAATCAGCATCGCCGACCACGGGGGATTTAAGCACGTAGGAGGTGCGGGAGGGCAATCGAAATGCTCGGATTTGAGAATGAGACGAGCACATCACTCGCGAGGCCCTTCTACATGACGTTTTGAAAACTCAGCAAGGAATCCAAGAGGGTGCCCCGCCTTACAATAATGCCGTAAACGCAATGCACCTCAACACAAGTCGTGCAACCAGCTTTTGCGGTTGGAGATGTCTCACCATCCCCTCCTTGCCGCCAAGAACACACCGCATATAACTGTCTGCCATTCCTTCGCATGGCAGCGGCCCCTCGGGTTCAGGATGGGTTCCCCCCTTCCCGCACCACCTCGCGCCACCAACCCCACCCCCTTAAGCCTACACAAGGGGGGAACCCCCGCGTCTAATCCTCACGTCTTTCGCCGAACGTCCTGTAGCCCCCTGGATAGACTTCTGCAGCACCATATCTCCGATGCCGAGCTCCATGCCTTCGTAGGAAGGCGCGAGCTACCAGAGGTTTCGCCGCATCGCACGCCGTACCGTACCATACCGTACCGTACCATGCCGTACCATGCCGTACCATGCCGTACCACGAAGCCCAGAATGCGAGACATCCAAGCGCAAAGGCGAGAGGGGGGACGGAACAGGACAAGCGGGACCGAAAGGTTTGGTGTTCTTCGCGTGCGTGGAAGAAGAAAAAAAAGATGAAAAAAGAAAAGAATCGGACGGTGGTGAGGTAGGTTCCGGGAGCGACGATAATGTCGTTCAGACTCTACAACCAAATGAGCTCACATGTGAATTTTGTTTTCACCGCACCATAATAACCATCATCTCGCATCTGCAGTTAGGACTTAGGCGGCGGCCCCAGCCAGGCGGCAAGAACAAGCAAAAAAAGAGAAGAGCGCGGCGGGCTAGACGAGCGGTGCGAGTGGAAAATACCTGGTTGCATGCAAGGTAGACGCACGGAACCAGGTCCTCCGGGGTGAGGGCTATGACCGTACACAAGAAGCCGCGAAGAATCTCTTGGATTTCCAACCTGCAAGGAAAAGATACACGGATCGAAGAAGCGAACCGTCATCGTCACCCACACCATCCAAATACAAAAAAAGAAAAAAGAAAAAACTGTGGTCAGCCAACCGTATTTCTAGTAATGGTCAGGCAATCGGATTCCTATTGTCGCCATGTCGGGGGGAGAGGGGGGGGGGTTGAAGTGTCCGCTCCTATTTTTACGGTTAGGGTCAAGGTTGGGAATAGGTAGTCTGCTTGTAGATACGGTATACGAACACACGCAGTCCTGGGTGCCTAACTATCGTACGCTAAAACAAAGCTGGACGAGGGCGAGCACCATGGAACGGCGTTGAACAAGAAGGGACAACGACACGCGCAACCAGGGGGGGGAACGAACAAACAGTCGCGAAAAACAACGGGACGAAAAAAGCAACCGGTAAAAATACGGGAAACCACGCAAAATGGGACACAGGACACTAGGCCCAGCCGAAACAGCCCGCTGGCAAAAAAAGGCAAGGCGGGACAACAACGTGAGCGGCGCTCTCGGGGAGGTGGGGCATCGCGTGGTGTGGGACAAGACCAGGTTGTGACGGAGAGCCTAACCTCTTTGACGTCTGCTCGACGCGGTCGAACATCTCGGCAACCGCAGAGAAAGGAACAGGCTGGCCCTTCTTCCAGGACGCCTTGGCAAGGAGGTCTTCCGTTTTGGCTATCACGAGGCTGGCCGCCGTGCTGCCCTGCACGCCACCAATGAGCAGTTTGTAACCGACCGCGACATCAAGGGGGGCATGGAGAGGCAAGGCCATGCTGAAACGCGCACGCCTTGTGCTTTTGAGCCTCGGAAACCGACAGCGCGCAGTCAAACGGTGTTGTATTGCATCGTTTTCGCTTGCATGACCTCCGCACACGCGAGGCACCGCAAACTGTACTCGCGAGACACGAGACACGAGTGGGATAACAGCACCGCGGGCTGGCTTCCCTACAAGACAAAAATAAGCTCCCGAGCTCCACAAATAGCGCCAACAGAAGCGGCCTCCCAAGTGTCGCCAGCACAACCACCACCCAAGCCGCTGAACGACAATTTTGCACACTAGTTGGCCTCAACGCACCGTTGCGGCGCGTAGGCAGAAGCGGCCCGTCTGCGGGAAGCAACAAAGCTTGTGTGAAGGGGCGGCAACTTGCCTTGACTTTTTTCTTGGGCGGGGGCGCGCCACTGGCCCTCTTGGCGCCCGCCATGAGCGCGCTCGCCACGGTGCCGCTCGCCCCCTTCGTCTTCTTCGCCCCCTCCCCTTCCACCTCGCCCGCATCCTCCTCATCCTCATCCTCTTCCTCTTCCCCCGCCTCCTCCTCCTCTTCCTCCTCCTCCTCCTCCTCTCCGGCAGTGTGCGGTTCTGCTTCTTCTTCTGCTTCTTCTTCTCCTGATCCGTCGTCGTCGTCGTTGCCTAGCTCCACCACGTCCATGGCGGCGCTTTTCTTTTCGCCCTTGGCAGTCTCTTCCCCTACCGCCGCTCCTGCTCCGAACATGTCGTCGTCGCTGAGCCCGCGGTCGGTTTGCGGCAGACGCCGGCGGCGGCAGGTTAGAATGGGCACCACCAAGGATCGCCTTCGCAAGAAATTTTGATTATTAAGGGTGAAATATAACTGGGAGGGGGTACGCAGGCCCTATGCCTAACCCATTACCATAGCTCAAGTCCCCCGAATGCATAGTTTTCCAACATGTTTACCCAACAGCAAAAAAAAAACGCCAAGGCTACTGAAATTTTTCGGGCATAACAACAATAAACAGATACACCAGCAACAGCAACAATAACACCACCACCCACCACCAACAACAACAACGACGACAACAACAACGACAACAACAGCAAAAACAACAAAAACAGAGCAGCACCAATAGCAGTACCCGAAGAGTAAACCCACACCGTGGTCCCGACACCGCCGCAAGACGGAGCGAGGTTGTGGGACGGGCGACCAACACGCCACACCGCATCTCGAGCATCGCATCGCATGGGAGAAGACCTCCCAGCGAGTGCCATGCGTAGCAACGTTCCCAACGGAATCGTACCAAAGGCCGTGTACACACGTGTTGTGCCGCACGCACGTGTCGAGGCTGGGTCCCCCCGTCTACGTGTCTCGTGCAACAACAACAACAACAACTTCGGTAAGCTTTTCTGGCGGTAGGCAGGCGTAAGACCGACCCACCTGTCCTCCGCAGCGGCGTTGGCCTTCTTCTCGGCGAGGCGACGCAACCTCCTAGGCTTCTTTTGGGCCGGCGCATCCTCCCCCCCCTCCAGCTCGTCGTCCCCGGCCTTCCCACCTCGGGGTGCCGCCGCCGCTGCCGTCTCCTCCTCCTCGGCGGCGCCCTCTCCCGCGGCCTGCTTCCGCTTTCCGGCGGCTACCGCCGTATTCTTCTCCGGGGAAAGGCTCTCCCCGTTGCCCTTCTCCTCGGCATTGCTGGTCCCCGCCGGGGAAGGAGACGCCGGCTTCGCCTCATCCTCGCCGTCGCCGTCGACAACGCGCCTCGGTTTCGGTTTCTTGGTAGCGGCGGGCTCGGGGGCTTTCTTGGCTGCCTTCGGCTTTGGCTTGGGAGAGGGTTTGGCAGAAGGCGGGCGCGGCTTGGGGGGGGAAGGCGGGTCTGCTGCCCCGTCTTTCGGCCCTCCGAAAAATGAGCTTCGTGCAGGGATAGGCGTTGGGCACCGGCAGCGGGGGGGGGACAACCGGGAAGTGGAATGTCTTCCGACGGGCACGAATGCGGGACGCGTTGACATGCGATTGCTGTCTCGGCTACAAAACTGCTGTTGTTGGGTACCATTCCCTGCGTTTAGATAAAGGTACCATAACTGCCACACCGAGGGGTTATGACAGCACCCATTGCTCTACATCGCTCTACCGCGGCACGCTCCACGTTATTGGTGCTACAATAACCGCTTCTTGAACCTTCGCAGTCTATTTCTCAGTACAAACATGACCGCGAATTCGCACAACTCCCAGAGTTCCATACGAACTCATTTCCCCGCGCCAATATGTCAACGTCTTAAGCTCTCTCCCCGCTGCGATAAAAGCAGTAATGGAATTCCTCTATGACCCAAAGTGGTCCAACTATCCTCGACTACAGCACCGGGACTGGTACGTGTGAGCTCTCACTCTATCTCTGTCCTCGGCGGTCGGACTTCCCAATAAGGAGCGGCAAAGTTTGAACTTTTCAAAAAACAAATAACCGCTCGTGCTTGGAACCGCAGTTCGGTCTGGTAGCGCGAGCACGTTGGCGATCCTGGCATGGGAACCATGTACAGCCAACACGTGGTACGATAGAGTGGCGCTAATCTTGTCGAGCGAAGGGGACGGGAGAGGGGACAACCCGTCGATCACACGGGAGGAGAACGAAAGACAGGCTGCTGCAACATGCCAAATTTCAAATTCAAGAAAAGAGGGATCCACCATCAAAGCTCACGTGATTGACTTCTGCATGGGTTGCTCGTCTTTCTTGAATGCAGGCGGATTCCGTCTTAATTCCCTTTCACAAGCCACTCGGCTGGGAGATCTGGCCAGCCTTCTCCAGGTGCTGCGGTACGTCTCTCGTCCGTGCCGTTGTGCTGTGTGCTGGTGGCGCTCGACTCTTTGCTGGGGGGTACAGGGACGAGAATTTAGGCCCGCCTATCATCCATCAAGTAGGCTCCGTGTATCATCAACATCCCGAACCGAGGCCGGTTGCCCCGCAGCACCGGCGTCACCTGGGCCAGAGGCAGGAGATAAACAACACCAACACACGCCGCTAGTGCACACCCAAGTCTTTCCGCTACCCCAACCCCTCTGTGACTGTGGGAACACTTTTATTTCCACTTCGGCGCACCAGCAGCGAACAACCATCGAGAGAGCAGCGATACCGCCGCTGACGACGGCCCATTCCCGTGCTCCAGCCTAGCGTGTGCTAGACCAGATGCCGTGCTTGTCGGGTTGCCTCTTCGAGTCCACGCTGCTATCTATTCGACGGGAGATATGCTGTTCCTGAGAGTAGACGAACAGCAAGGCGAAGGTAAGGGAGGTAAGGTAGAAACATGCAGAGTTTTACAGAGTTTCTTTGATTTGTTCTCACCGCCTCCGCCGGCGCCAAAATCCCGACGAGTGATCAAGCCTCTCGACTGCCAAGCCGGCACGGGTGTTAGAAGGGACTCAGCAGAGACCGGAACGGTTTTTGATATGCAGGGAAAAACAAAACAACAACAACGATAACAACAACGAGCCAGGTGCACGTAAAGTCGGTGCCGCAGCATCAGCGTCGGCAATATATTGCACAGCATCTTTCATCTTACTGGCATGTAATGCTTGTGTTGTAGTAGATGTCGACACCGATGTTGGATCTCTGTCGTGTTGCCCTCCTCCTTGTTGCAGGGGGAAAAGCCCACCTCGAGGGGCTGCTGCGGACAGACGGCTGCAGCGGAGCGGTGGAGACGTTGAGGGCGTTCTCGGTCTGCGGGACCTTGGTCGAGCCCATCTCGGGGTATGTGTGAATAGTAAATCATTGCCGGTGGTTGTCTCTCGCAGCAGAGGTCCCAGTTGCAGCAATGCGAAGCAGACAAGCGTCCTTGAACTCAAAGCAGGTGCTGGCATGGCCGAGGACTGCGCTATCAACGAGGTCCATATGCGCGCTTCTTTGTTTGTATGAAGTTTTCCGCACCAAAAGCTGGCGCATGCTGAAACCCCACTGCTGTACACGGTTTGGTAGCATGCCCACGCCCTTGCACGCGGGAAAATTCTTTGAGGCACGATTTGGCATACTTTGTTTTGGCACATGTCAACCAAACTTGACGCATGCTGAAACCCCACCGTAGTTTGGTAGCATTGCCACGCCGTTATTGGGAAGAGCATACACGACCTTACGACCTGAAGTACTCCGTAGGCCGGCGCCAACAGGAACATGATGAGTGGCAAGAAACCGTACGCACACCGTGCCTACCACTCTGTATTTCCGTGCACGATACAACGCTTGAAGCGCGCCCACGTCAAAAATTTCCCCCGTCTCTTCCCCCCGTCTTCTCTCCTCGTGTCGATCGAAACGGACAACAGAGTTCCGCATCTGATTCGGCGCGACACTGATGAGGCAGCAGCTGGTGGGCCGACGCGGAGCAAGGCTAGCGAGAGCTTGGAGAGGAAAGAGAGGGAAACCCCGACCACCCAGGAACTGGCGAGTTACCGTCCGTCACGCGAACGACGACGAAACCCGCAAAGCTGCGCCGATTGATGTTGGTTGATGAAGTTGTGGTAACCCCCTTGCCATGCTAAAAAGTTCAACTGATCTTTGATTCGCCGATGGGCCACGGCTCGCAGTCACTTTGTCCGACAGCTTCATTCGGCTTGGGTAGTTTCTCATGACACTTTCATGCACGTGGTCCGCACTTGCCTGTTTCTCTTGGAGAGGCACCGCACGGTATGCGCTCGCGTCAGCACCATCGCATTCGCCACGAGGTTTGATTTTCTCGGCACTGCTGCCGGCATCTCACATTGCCCTTGCGAAAAAAAAAAATCGTTTTTGCTTCTGGTCGCAGGCGACCACTTCGCTAGTTTACCTTCCGGCTATCCCCTCGTGGCTACCGCTGTGGAGCTTGCTCTCTCCGTCCGACGCCATCAGCAGCAGCAGGGGCGGCGAATATGGCAGCAGCAGCGGAAGTGGTGGCGTTGCGCATCTTTCCGAGACACGAACGACCGGTGCAGACAAGACTCCGCCACACGAGCCTGCGGCCACCAGCGCCTCCAGCGGAGATGAACCAAACGTCTCCGTCCTCAACCCGGCTCTCGACGGACTAGCTGCCGTTGGAAGCGGGGACAGTGTTGGCGGCGGCGGCAGCGGCGGCGGTAGAGGGGCCGTACGGCTCGTGCAAACCGTAGCCACGAGCCAGGCGCCGTACCGGTACGCCGTCGTCTTGCACTTCTGGGACGTGGTGAGCTAGAGGAAGGGAGGATGGGACGCCAAAAACGAGGGATAATGGTCAGACGTACATTGTGTTTTTATAATAGCATGGGCGGGAGGTCGTTGTGAATATTGACGAGTTGCGCCGACCGACACCCAACGGGGGGTCGGCTTAGACACCGTCTGTCGCCAGGTATAGACAGGGGCGGTGTGTTGGGACTTTCCCCCCCCCGCGTGCTGAGAACGGCTAACTACTCATCGATGCGGGGTCTTCTTGTTTTGGCTCCTCGCTTGGCGCCAGTGGCAACAGCGTATCGTAGAGTTTGACGTGCGGTGTGTGAAGGATCTCCTCCGGTCTTGCAAGGTACAGCTTCACGCATACGCCCCAGTCCCGCGCGTTTATCGTGTCGTCGCTGAAGTTGCTGCGCTCCAGTACGTCGAACCCCGCCTTAAAATCATCACGTCCACCAAGGGTAACTAACATGAGAAGAACCACCAACAACAATATGCAGCCAACATCGGCCATTGCGCTGGATGGAATAACGACGACTAATCGAAGAAATCAACCGTACGATGTGCCTCATAGGCCTCATCCGATGGTCCTTATCGCATACCCCCCCCGCCGTACCCTCCCTTGTTTTTTCCATTCCGCGGAGCTCTGTTTTCCAACCCGTTTCTCTCCCTGTGGCTCCTTCCGGTGTACGCCTGGCGCCGACTGGATTGCGCTGTCGCTGCTGTCTCTGTCTTTTTTTTCTTTTTGGCAGGCTGACGCGGTCTCTTTCGTGGAGAGGGTCAACGGACTCTCCTTGCCGGGCCGCGGCGTGGTGAAAGCTCTGTTTCTATCGGGAGCGGAGGTTATCCCAGCTCCAGGGAGTGGTGCTGGTGGTGGCGACGGTGGGGGCGCCGACGGGGCCGATGCGGTAAGGGTGGTGGTGGTGGTGGTGGTGGAGGCCATGGGAACAGGAAGCACGAAGTGCAATGCCGAGGGTAGGGCTCACACAGCCAGGTTGGAAAGAAAGGAGGAGACTCCCACGGTCGAGGGAAGGCCGCCCCGTCACGCTATCGCTATTGGTAGAGGGTGAGATTCATACGTGCTGAAAGTGGGACTACAGAAAAATGGGAAGCTGTCGTCGTTTTGCGGTCTGTTTTTTTCTTTGTTGTTGTGGTCGAGACCGCCTCCCTCCGGCCTTGTTCTAGTGTCACACTGCTTTGTTGGGACGAGATAAACGCACAATAAACATTTTTTCACATACTTAGTTTTTTTGGCTACCGCTATAGTTGCCGTGCTGGAGCCGCGCGCTTCTTTTTTTGCGATTTTGCTGTGGAACAACACCCGCAACAATCACAACCGCCTAGCTTACACCGCCCAACGTGGTAGCAGTACACCTGCGGATCCATTTCCCCTAGATTTTTCGCCACCCCGTGGTACATCCCCCCTTCTCTCAACACTGCCATTCGCACGTTCATTCCACGGTACCTTTTTTTGCACTACCCCCCCCCCCCCTTTGCCCTCCCCGGTGTTTGCCTTCGGGGTTGGGTTGTCGTCGCTTGGCAACGACGTTGTAAAGCAAGCCGATTCACTTCGTGAGCTCGTCAACCAGGTTAACGCTTTTTTTTTACTTTTCTTTTTTTTGCAGTAACCATAATAGTGGTCGAGTAGATCATGTTGTACGGGGTCGAGAACCATCACTCCGCGCAAGGGGGATGATCGCACCACGTTTTGTTAAAATTGTCAAGCATCCTCCAGGCATTTTTACAGTGCTTATAACTGTCTCTGGAAGTGAAAGCACCAGAAAATAAATTAAGTCATACGCAGCAGTCATCCGTACGCAAGGAAGTACCCGAACACCCTTCGCAGGATTCAGCGCACCCTTCATGCGACTCGCCGAATACCTCACGGTGCTTTCGCGCTTGGTGATGTAAGAGTCTGGTCCGGTGAAAACCCGGCGTGCTCCGTCCCGGCTTTGTAGGGATGCGGGGTCAATGGTCTAACGACTACAGCATGCACGACTATGAGTACACCCCCCCCGCCTGCATTCATCGCTTCTATCAAGCACCCCGGAACCCCTCACTTCCCCCCGTACGTGTCCTGTCGCGTCCTCCCCTTTCCGTTCCCTTAAATCACGCCGCCCTGTACTCCGTCTCTCAAAGATTTCGTTCCGACAACGGCGAAGGCGATCTCTAAGCGAAGGAGTGGCGCCATCGTCCTCCTCCTCTTCGGGGGCAAAGGACGGGGCAACACTGCAGGGCAGCGGCAGCGAGGAGTCCAAGTCCAGCTGGTCAGGCCGCGCCGGGCAAGCGGGTCGGTCCAGCTGCAGCCCCCCCCGAGATCGCGACAGCAGTCGCGCCCGATTATTGGCCGGTGCAACCGCCGGGAGTTCCCCGCGAGGGAGGCTGGCGGGGAGGGCGAGAGCAGGGGACGGCGGGGCTCCGGGAGGTGAGGGGCGGGCTACCTACGCCCGCCCAGGACCGGCGTCGGCGTCGCCCCCCCCAGTGGGGAGAGAAACGGAGGCCGAAGAGCGCAAGGGCCGCGGCTGCGGGGAGGGGGGGAGTGATGGAGGGAGCGGCTCGGTTTCGCCCCCGCCGGTTTGGCAGCAGGGGGGTGAGATGTTCTTGGCGTTGAGCGGCGGGGGTGGGGGGGCGCGGCGCCGCGTGGCTTGGGGGCGGGGGGGGGCAGGAGCAGTTGCCCATCGCAATCCCAATGGCGACGGACGTGATGGCGGCGGCGGCGGCAGGGGCGGCAAGGGCAGCAGAACCGAGCTCCCGCCATGTCCCGTCTGTATTGACCGTCTCGACCCGGCGGTCTCCGGTATACCGTTGGCGAGGAGCGGCAGCAAGAGCAGCAGCAACGGCGGGGGGGAGGGGGGTAGCGGCGGCGGCGGCATCACGGGGGCGATTCTCGGCAGCTGTCGCCACCGAGAATGCAACTCTAGAGGGGGGAAAGCGGGAGAGGCTTCAGCGGCATCAGCTGCCGCCGCCGCCGCCGCCGCCGCCGCGGGATCCTCGCCAGGCCCGAAATGCAGTGTCAGCGATGATGATTCAGCCGGGCATGACCCTGGCTGCGAGAAGAAGGAAGCCAGCCCAACGGGACAGGCGTTGGGCGGGGACAAGCACAGGGGCAGGGGGCCCCGGTGGGAAGGAGAGAGGACTAGGCAGGGGGGGGGGTCGGGGGCGACACCGATGGACGCGCTGCGGCCGGGGGGGGAGGAAGGATTGCGCGGCGAAGGGCGAGAAGGCGCCGGCGGTGGTGGTGGTCCCGCCCTGAACGTGACGATGTGGAAAGGGTCGAACTGCCGAGTCTGCCGCTCGCTTAACGTGGCGTTGAACGGGGCTCCGGGTGAGGTGGGTCATCGCTTGCTTTCATACGGCGGCGGCGGTTTCTTTAAGTGTGCGGCGGCTGAGACGCCGCATATTCACAGAACGGGCACACCGTCGTTTTGTTTGCACTCGCAGGAATGCCATTCGATCCACACGACGTACTTGTGTTTGTGCCTACTTCGCAGCACAGCCGGCCGGGGAGTGTTGCTTGCTGCAGGCAGACTGCCAGTTTCGCGTGTTTGTTTTTATGGTTCGAGCGTGTAGGCTTGAAATTGTTGATGTTGTTGACAAATTGCAAACGAATACCAGCTGCATTGTGCTTCTCCAGCCGAACCTCCTTGCACCCAGGGCTGCAAACAGGGCTGTCGTTCTATTTTGTGTCAGGGAAAGCCTCCTCAACTTGACAACTGTCTTCTACTTTACGCCCCGCCCCTCTCTTTCCCACACGTGTGTGTGTTTCTCATGTGTGCGTGCTCTTCCCCGGCCGCCCTAAGCTGTGTTGCGAGACTTGCCGCATCGCACATAACCTCTGGATCTGCATGGTGTGCGGGCACATAGGATGCGGCCGCTACACGGGAGAGCATGCGAGCCGCCACTTCCGTCTCTCGGGCCATACCTACAGGTAAAGCTATCATGTACATAGCTCAGGACAGAATTGTTTTTCTGTTGTCTGCAGGACAGAGAGAGAACATTCGTTGAGTGAGGAGGCGTCTTTAAGCTGCTAGAATTTGTCAGGATTTTTCCGCAGGTTGCTCGCTGTTAGCCGCCCTTCGCTTTTTCTTGCGTCAGCAGCCCGGCTTGTGAGTGTCGAGCAACACGGTCATGCAAAGGAGGCACGATTGGCGCTCCGCACAGGCTATTGGCGAAAGTCAAGCGAAATCGCCACCGACTTGGTTCCGGCGGCCGAATCCTGCTCGTGTAGGTAACGAGCTCAACGTGGGGGAGAGACGTGAAAGAAGGGTCGCGCTCGATCACCTGTTTTTGCATTTCGGCATGGAGATTTTGATATTCATACAATATACAATACGTGGGGAGGTGTTTATTTTGTTTTGTGTATATTTTAGTTAATTATTTTTCAGGTTTGGGGATTACATAATATGCATATATACAACATGTGGGGGGTGTTTAAGTCTATATTTGCGTATTTTTATTATTAATAATTATTTTTCAGGTTTGGGGATTACATATTGTTCGGCACGGATTCAGCGCAAGGGGAAGACACGACAACAGTGCACGTTCGATTCGCTTCTTGTTGTTTTGTTGGGGCTAGCTCTCTGAGCCCACGTGGCACAGACGCAAAAAAAAGCTCCCCTTCTGCCCTCGTCCGTGCAACCGTTTTCGGCAGCCTCGAGCTCAGCACTGGGCGCGTGTGGGACTACATCGGTGACTGCTACGCACACCGCGCGCTCCGCGGGCACCTCGCACCCTCTCATGACAGGGCGGGGCGGCAAGGCCAAGGGCAAAGGGGGGATGGGGCGCGCTGGGGGCGAGGTAGCTCCGGAGGCGGTCGGGGTGCCGAATTGGGCTCAACTGGTGGAGGAGGAGGGGGCGGGGGGGAGGGGGGACGGGATGGATCCCCTCCGTTGTATTCTGAGGTAAGGCCCAACGCGTACGTGTTTTGTCACGTAGCGGCTAACTTCCCGAACAAAGCAAGGAAAACGTAGCTCCGATGCTGGTAGGAACGCCTCTTTTTTTTTCTGTCTGCAGCCGCCCGTTGCGAAGGCGAGAACTCCTCCAGCGTCTGTTGTAGGCTTGGGTTTAGTTCTTCATGTTCTTTCGCTGAGAGCCTTTCTCTCGGGCACCTGTGTTCTGCCCACATGGGCAAGCAGAGGCGCGCGACTAGTGCACCGCCCCCCCCAAGTTCGCAGCGGCCTTCTTTTTTCGTTCGCGAAATAGGAGGGTTGCCAAACAGACCTGTCTGTTTTGTGTGTCGTTTAGAAGCTCTTGCGTGTTCTCCATCCTCAACGCTGGCATCTTCGTCCCCAGTTGCGAGAACGTCCGGCTATTGATGACGGTTCCCCGGGTATGCATTCGTGCGTGGGCATCAGACTAAGGAAAATAGAAAGTCGTGTTCCGGAGGAGGGCGGGGGGGGGGGCGGGGGGGGGGTCCGCCAAGCAACTC